ATATATTCCCAGTAGTGGAATTGCTGGGTCAAATGGTATCTCTATTTGCAACTTTTTGAGAAAGCGCCATACCGCCTTCCACAGTGGTTGCACCCAAATCCATCTTAAAAGAAGTGTAGCCTGAGTTTCTCTTTAGAGGCAAGGCTGATGAAACTTCATCTCACTTAGTTTGGACATTTTCTTAGGATGAAAGAATTCTTGGAAAGAGACAGCATGCTTAGAAAGGTGGAGGGTCAGAGAAAGACACTCAAGATGGATGGACACCAGTGTTACGACCACAATGGGCTTGAGCATGATTGAGATCGGGAGGATGGTGCAAGACAGGGCAAGTTTCAGATCTGATGAGTCATAGTGGCCTCGACAGCACCTAAAAACATTTTTAGTGAGAACTATGGGTATTAGTTATCAGTTTGAAAACTGGCTACTTGTATGATATTATTCATTATAATTCCTAGTTTCCTGGCTTTTGGAAATGTGTTTGGATAAGTTTACTGTTTAGCTTAAACTATAGCTCGATTTTTTATTTCCTTTAATATTGGCAATATTTGGAGAGAGCTAACACCAAACTTTTTCTTTTGACTGAAGTTAATGGAAAGACTGAAACAGCATTGGAAGCTACTCAGCTCTTTCTAAAGCTTTTGGATTCCTCAAACAGAGAAGAATTTAGAAGACTCCTGTATTTCATGGCTGTTGCAGCACATCCTTCTGAGTTTAAATTACAGAAAGAAGTAAGTCTTTTTGTTTAAATATTAATTGTACTTCTAGAATCCACACGTCAGATTTTTACATTTTTAGCATTTACTAGGCGGAAATAGGTGATGAATTACTATTTACTATCATTTTGTCTTAAACTTGTTCTTTTAAATATATACTATAGGAAATATTTTGTTTTTGCAGAGTGACAACCGGATGGTTGTGAAACGGATATTTTCAAAAGCTATTGTTGACAATAAAAGCTTATCCAAAGGCAAGACTGACCTCCTCGTACTCTTTTTAATAGATCATCAAAAGGATGTTTTTAAGGTAAAACTTTGAAAGTAGTTAAGCTTATGTAATTGATCACTAGCTTAAAGTGAATATTCAGGTTTATCTTGTGTCTCTTCTTTTTCTTAAGATTCCTGCAACTCTACATAAAATTGTCAGTATTAAGCTTATGGCCATACAAGAAGGAAGAGATCCAAAGAGTGAGACAGGTATCCCAAGACATCTCTTTTTATCACCTTCTAATAGTAAAATCCTTTGTGTTTACTTGAAAACTTCTTTTGGCAATAAATTGTTATACTTTGTGTTGCAGACCAAGGATAAAGTATTTTTATAATCATTAATAATGAGACAGACAGCCAGGAACAAAATAAAACAGAGAGCGTAATGACAGGGGGCCAGCAGTTTTATTGACTGAAGGGCCTCAAGCCATGATGCTTCTGTGTATTTATTGATAATCAGGTGAAGCAAATAATAAAAATAATTACTTTGTAAATGAAGCTGAATTTTTCCTCTATTGTCAACCTAATGCTTTAGCTCAGGAAGTATTTCACATGTATCAACACTCCCTCCATAGGAGGCCCCTACCTGTCTCTTGTCTGCAGGGAACAGCTCATTTTCTGTGATCTGTCACAAGAGAAGTCCTAACTTATACATTTGTAATTCCTTCAATTCCTGAACAAGCATATGGTTTTTCATACAATATTTGGTATAAAATTTGGCTTCTCGGCGAGATCTGGTGGCCTAGTGGCAAGAAGGTGTACCGCAATCCCAGAGGTGCACGGTTCAAATCCACCAGATGCTCTGCTGGAGAAGGAGGAACAATCTCCTCCTGTACCAGTCAGATCTGATTTGAAGGTACACACACACACACACACACACACAAAATAATAAAATAAAATTAAAAAAAAAATTTGGCTTCTCAGCTTTGATTTCAACCTAAACATTCTTATTGAACAAGGTTAAGAACTCAGTAGTGCTTAGTATCTTACCAAATAAGACGTGAAAACATAAATATTGCTCAATTTTTTTTCTAGTTAAATCTGAGATATTAGTCAACTGATTGTTTTACTTTTAAACTTGAAGGATATATTTACTGCCAGAGGATTGAGCAAAGTGACTATCCCAGCAGTACACAGAAGACGACCAAAGAGGAGCTGTTGAATTTACTAAAAACCATCAATGAGGATTCAAAACTCTCTGCAAAAGAGAAGAAGAAGCTGCTCAGTCAGTTCTATAAGTGTCATCCAAACATCTTCACTGAATATTTTGGAACTTGAGTTTTTCATATGTGTAGTTGTCTAAAATGTATATAACTTATGTATTTTAAGAATAAATTACGTATCCTAAAGACATATTTAGGTTTGTAAGGTTGATGTTTTTCTGAATATGAAATTGTACTTAATAAATTTTTTTTTTATATTAACTTGTGTGACTGAGACTGTTAGTGAGATGGCATACTGCTGTTACCACTGACCTCTTTGAGGTAACTTCATTTAGAATTACTTTGCAAAATGTATTGACCATTATAGAAATAAGATGTGACACTGCATTATTTTTATAAGAAAATATTAAATAATAAGGACTTTTATTATTTCATATTAACATGAGTATTGTTTGTGCCTTTGAAAGGTACTCATTAGGGATAAGGTAGTAAGTTAAGTCATGATGAAAATTGCTGATTTTCATAAGTTACAGAGAAAGCAATCTCCTATACAATTTACTGCCTCTGAAAAACTGTTGGAGGGTCAGTTATGAGTTGATTCTGCTTCAATGGCACACAATTATTTGAACATATCTTGAACATCTTAAGTTTATTATGGAAAAATCAAGCACATATACAATCAAAAGAATAATAAAGTATATACTTATCATTTAGTTTCAACAACTGTCAACTCATGGCTAATTTTCTTATAACTGCATTATTTCCTCCTGTACCAGCACATTTTGGACTTACCACCTCTTTAATTCAGTATGTTTTATTAAAAGATAAGAATATTGTCTTATAAGATCTTGTGCTCTGTCTTCTCTACACTAGGAGCAACTTTCCTGCCACAGCCCCTCATCCCCTGCAAACCTACGCCTGCACCAAGTTTGTCTCCACCCCTTCCCTTTCAGGAGCGTCTCTTAGCTGTTGAGCATTGTCTGCAGTGATGCTGAAACAACCAGAGACACTGAGAGATGAGACATTCAGCTACTTGATAGCCCCACGTTCCCTGATTCATTTATCCCTAGTCACAGATTCCAAACCAGCACCATCTCAAGGGATATTGACACAGCAGCCAAGTTTATAATTTATGTGATATCATTGATACCACATACAAGCCAAATACTGCTGCTGAAGATCATTCAAAAATGGCTAGAACAGTGCATAGAGGTTCAAGCAGGATTTAGAAGAGGCTGTGGCACCAGGGATATCATTGCTGATATCATTGATGGCTGAAAGTAAGGAATACCAGAAGAATGTCTATTTCCACTTTGTTGACTATGAAAAGGCGTTTGACTGTGTAGACCATGACAAGTTGTAGCTGACATTGAGAAGAATAGGAATCCCAGAGCACTTGATTGTACTCATGCGGAATCTATACTGGGATCAGGAAGCTGTTGTGTGAATGGAGCAGGGGAGCACTACATAGTTTGGAACTGGGAAAAGAGTGAGCAAAGGTTGTATTCTCCCTACATACCTTTTCAGTGTGTATGCTGAGCAAATTATTCTAGAAGCTAGACTCTATTAAGAGGAATGTAGCAACAGGATTGGAGGGAGACACATCCAGAACCTACATTATGCAGATGACACAGCCTTGACTGCTGAAATAGAGGAGGGCTTGAAGCACTTGTTGCAGAAGATCAAGGAATGTAGCCCTTTGGTATGGAATGTATCTCAATGTCAGGAAAATTATTCTTACCACTGGACCCATAAGCAACATCACGATGGATGGAGAGGACATAGAAACTGTCAACAGCTTCATCTTGCTTGGGTCCACAATTAACACCTTTGGTACAAGCAAGCAGAGGAAGACTCATTGCACTGGGAAAATCTGCAGTTAGGGACCTTTCCAAAGTATTAAGCAGTAGTGATGTCAGTTGGAGGACTAAGGTGCATCTGATTTAGCTATAATCTTTCTGATTATTAGCTATGCATCTGAGACCTGGACAATGAATAAGGATGACAGAAAAAGAATTGACTCCTTTGAGCTGTGGTGTTGGAGAAGAACACTGAACATCCATGGATGGCCAAGAGAACAAACAGATATGTCTTGGAGAGGATGCAGCTTGAGTGCTCTTTGGAGGCAAGAATGATGAGGCTTCACCTCACATACTTTGGACATGTTGCTAGAAAGGATTATTCCTTGGAGAGGGACATGATGTTGGGAAGCGTTGAAGGTCGGCTAAGGAGAGGAAGACCCTCAACCAGGTGGATTGATATGGTGACTGCTGCAATGCGCTCTTATGTGTCAGGAAGTGTGAGGATGGCGCAGAATAGAACTGAGTTCAGATCTTTTGTTCATAGGGTTGCTATGAGTTATGCTAGACCCAACACCACCTAACAACAACAACAAGATCCACAACACCCTTGATACTAGCAATCAAGAAATCAAGACATGTTGTATTGGGAAAGTCAGCTGTCAAAGACCTTCCCAGAATACTAAGGAGCAATGATGTCAGTTTAAAGACTATGGTGCAGATGATTCAGGCCATATTTGTAATCACTTGCTATATATTTGAGAACTGGACAATGAATAGAGATGACTGAAGAAATGATGCCTTTGAGTTGTATAAGAAGAATATGGAATATCCCATAGAATTAAAAAAAAAAAAAGCAGATATACCTTGGAGAAAGGACTGTCAGAATGCTCCTTGGAAGCAAGTGTGATGAAGCTTCATCTCACATGCTTTGGGCATGTTATGAAAGGTTATTCCTTGGAAAGGGAGAGCAAGCTTAAGCACAAGGTCAATGAAGTAGAGGAAGACAAGACTAGAGATGAGTTGACACAGCGATTGCAGCAATGGTTCAAGTATAGCAGTGTTGAAGATGGTGCAGGATAGGGCGGAGTTTTTAGATCTATTGTTCACAGAGTTAAGATTGGTATTTCTATTAAGTAATATAAATTGAAAAGGCAGTTACTACAGTTCATTTATATGGGAAAAATTTTTGAGCGACCCCAGATCCAAAAATTAGCCTGCGAAATAACACCAAATAACATAAAATGATACTAACAACTCCGCAGGAGAAACATGGGGAATCTTCTCATGAAATTTCTGAAAACCCACTGGAGGATCATGTGTTCGTTACAACTTGACCTGGAAACAAGGATTAAACTATGCCGCAAGTACAACTACAAAGGCGGAGATGGCTAGAATGCAGGTGCTCCAGAGGAGTGTATTTTCCCTATACATTCACTCTGTTCCCCACGTTCCTCCAGGAGGTACCTGGCCCTCGCTCCCACCTTTCCGTACGGAAACATGGCGCCTCCCAGTGAGAAGCAAGCCCCTCTGCCCTCAGCAGCAGCCCCCGGCATTCTCGCCGTAACCTCTGAGCCACGCCTCCCTTTTCCGTACGACAAAATGGCGCCGCCCTGCCTGAAGTGGGCACCGCCTAGCTCAGCGCGGCCTTCCCCTTGCCGACGCTGAAGAGCGGCCGCTAAAGCCACGGCCTACCGCAGCCGAGAAGGGAGGAGGCAGCGCGGCGAATGATGAAGCTTCGGAGGGACCGAGGCTGAACTGCCCCTGCCCGCCGCGCACTGTTCCCCGTCCTGGCCGCGGCGCCAGCCGTCGCCCGAGTCACAGTCGGAGGTGCAGGAGGGAGAACGTGGGCTCCGCGACAGGTGAGCGAACCGGCGCGGAGGCCGGCCGCTCTGCGAGGCCCTCGCGGGAGGGCGAGGTCGGCGTCGTTCGCACGTGTACGGCATTTCTCCCGCGACAGTCTCACCAGCGTGTCGTCGGGGTAGAGGAGAGGAAGCGGCAGGGACGGCGGGCGGGTTTGGGCTTCGAGCAGCCTTTGTCCCACCCCACGAGGCGGTCCGCTGGGCGCGCCCTCCTTCTCTGCCTGCTCCTGGCCCTGTCACCCCACGAGGCCGTCCGCTGGGCGCCCTGCTGCTGCCCTGTCCCCGGCCCTGTCACCCCACGAGGCGGTCCGCTGGGCGCGCCCTGCTCCTCTGTCTGCTCGCGTCCCTGTCACCCCGTCACCAGCCCAAACTGTTGTTTATAACGGAATCCGGACGCTGGGATGAGTGGCACCGACTGCCAAAGGAAGTGGTTCTTGGCGTCGCGAGCCGAACTCCTTTGCTGAAAGGTCCTTTCTCCTGGGGAATGTCCGTGCCCGGCTGAGACCCAGCGTGCAGTTGAAGACGATCTATCTACATGGCAGGTGTGAGGATCCCTCTGTCCTCCCTTCCCTTGGTAGGCACATTGGGGTTGATGTTGAATGAACGAGCGCGCTGTGAGCAGTGATACGGGCCACACAGAATCTTACAGCATGGGGGTTGTGGAAAGCTTGCTATGATCCAGTCGTATTTTGCACTCTCTCCTCTTCGATCTTCTCGGAGGAGGGAAATCATTCATTGTCATAAATGAAGAAACTGACGTTACAGAGCTAGTAACTGGTATTAGGAACAAGATCTGTCTCAGACCAACGCCCATCTATCTTCCCTAACACTGACATCATAGAGATGACACAGGCTTTCATTCATCTTTGTCAACAAATAGTGGGTATCTGTTTGGGACATACGCTTATTCATATGGGATATTATAGAATATTATTTCTGATCCTGATGCCTAAGAAGTTCATACTCTAGACATAGAGTTTCAAAAAGAGAAAGAAGAACAACAAACAAGCAGATTTATGATCTGATTCCCAGTCTTTCCCTACTTTGCTGGTTGTTTTTTGTTTGTTTGTTTTTTAATGTGGATTGTTTCTATTTTTTAATTTTTATTAAATTTTATTAATTTTAATGAACATTTACAGAGATTTTGGATTTCCATTCATTCATTGTTGCACTATTACTTTCCTGATTTTTTTAACATCATTGAGCTCGCATCGTTTTTCTTTTTGCTTCCCTCCTGTCCCAAACTTTCTTTTTAATTGGATGGAATCCTATCATTCCTCTAAAGGATTGGCTCAAATAATCACCTTTTCTGGGAGATTTTTCCTGAACTCCTCCCAGGCTGAATTTTCTTCCTCATCTGTATTCCTTTCGTTTCTTAATGCTACTGAAGTTTCAGTTACAGTATAACTACTTTTTTTTTTTTTTTTTAACTATGGACATGTTGCCAGGAGGGACGGGTCCTTGGAGAGGGACATCATGCTTGGGAGGGTGGAGGGACAGCGCAGGAGGGGAAGACCCTCTATGAGATGGATTGATTCGGTGACTGGGGTAATCGGGATGGGTGTGTCAGAGGCAGTGCGGTTGGCGCAGGATAGAGCAGGGTTTAGGGCTATTGTGCATAGGGTCGCTATGAGTCGCAAACGACTCGACGGCACGTAACAACAACAACAACAACAATGTTATTCTATGTGCCTTCCAGTCGCCTGTGACTCATAGCAACCTTATGTACAGCAGCTCTGAAGCCTGCCCTATTCTCAGCCAGTCTCACTGACCCTAACACACCTATCTCTTATTATCCCAGTTACTGTATCACTCCATCTCATCTGGGGTCTTCCTCTCCTGCACTGTCCCTCCACCCTTCCAAGCATGATGTCCTTCTCCAGAGATCTGTCCCTCCTGACCACATGCCCAAAGTATGTGAGACTGAGCTTCAAAACAGCTACTTTTAAGTATGTGTCTTCTCTCTCTAGGCAATGTCTTTTCATCTTCTAGTCCCTATCTAAATAAGCATGTTTTGAATTGAATTTAAAGCAATTATATATGAATGTAGTTTGTCTGGTAACCAGCACTTTGGGAGTTAAGAGCAAACACTGATGTAGCTGGGGAAAGATAGGACTTGAGCTGTATCTTAAACAAAAATCCAGACATATTGCCATCCAGTTAGTCTATACCCATGACAGTCAGGTTTCCTAGGCTGTAAACCTTTAAGGAAGGAAACGGCCCATGTTTTCCTGAGGCGCAGCTTGGTGGATCCTAACCACCTCCTTACCAGTTAGTAACACACTACACCACCATGGCTTCTCGTATCTCAAAAGAATGAGGGTCATTTGTAAGCCAAAAGTTTGAGACCCTGGAAATTCCTGCCTTGTTTCTCTCAACATGGCGTAAGTTTCTTCATCTTTTGGAGTCCTTTTTTTTTTTCTTCTTCTTCCTATGTGCTGTCAAATCAGATATCAGATCCGAATGGCACTGGAGGAGATTGCCCCTCCTTCCAGTGAAACATCTGGTGGATTCGAACGGGCGCCTTTAGGATTGCAGCACAGCTTCTTTGGGGTCTTATTTTTAGCATGTGAAAGGGAGAAAATGAGAAATGTTTTTGTTTGCTCCCCTTTCATAGACTATATTAGTGGTTTTTTTTTTAAATTTTGAAGTGTTCCCAGAGGCTAATAGAAGTGTGTTGAGAAGGTTTCATTTGAAGTGGGACTAGAAAGGGGAACTAAATGAATCAAAGCATCCTCTATATTAATAACTTGGTCTGGAAATATAAGTTCTAATAACTTCATTCTGCATAGTGAAGGTCTGAGATTTCAGATAATTATGTCAAGTGATTTTTCCCTAATACTCAGAAGAGAATTTGCCAAACCTCCTTAAAAGCAGTTGACATTTAGTTTGATCCTTTGATTACCTTCCAGGTATATAAAGAAGCCTAATTAATGTTTATGAAAATGCTTTATGATCTTTCAGTGCCTATAGTACAAATGCTAATTATTTTCAGTGTTATGAGTGCAAGAGCATTGTGTCTATTTTCTGCCTTAATTAGAAACATCCTAGGAAATAGAGAAGCCAAGGATAAAAAAAAAAATTTAAAAAGAATTGGCATGTTTTTACAGTAAATGAGTTGTTATTTTGTGCCTCAAGACCACTCTTACTCGTAGTGACCTTGAGGAGAAGAGAGGACAACGCTACCCAGTCCTCCTCACAGTTGTGGTACTGGGGTTCATCCATTGTTATAGTCATAAGAGAGGTTACTGTTCCAGGATTTGATTAACTGGCCCATACCTGAGTATCAAGTGTATTCCTGCCCTAGACTGGAAATAGAGGAACTGGGTGGTGCAGTTGATTTGTGTGCTCAGCTACTGGTGGACAGGTTGGAAACTCAAGGCCACCCTGAGGAACCTAGGAAGAGAGACTTGGTAGTCTGTTTGCTGAGGGGAGGAATGCCAGCCAACTATTGAAAACACTGTAGAGCAGAATACTACTCTAACACATACGAATTGGAATTGACCCGAGGATAGCTAGTGTACCAAAAATAATTATAAAAATATTAAAGTCATATCCGAACACATTATGGTTGTTTCCAAAACCAAAACCACTGCCATTAAATTGCAGTCCCTATAGGACAGAGGAGAACTACCGCATAGAGTTTCCAAGGCTATTACAGAAACCAACTGGCTTGTCTTTCTTCCATAGAGCGGCTGGTGGGTTTGAACCAAGGACTTCACCAAGTTAGTGAAGTGTTTTAACAACCACACCAGCACAGCTCTTTAAGATTGTTTACAGCTTTTACTCAACATCTTTTTTCTGCTGACTAGCAAGGAAATAAAAAACCATCTGTCACACACATTCCTTTTAATTGCATTACAGGATTCTCCATCCTGTCTATCATCTCAAGGTATCATATTCTCATGATAAGATCAGGAAACCAATTCCTCTGTATAGTGTATTGATTTAAATGCCTGATAAGAGGCATTATTTCCCAGGAGTTTTCCTACCAGTTCTTAAGGATAAAGTTAAAATATTTGAAATTGAATCATTGTCTGCCCAGCAGAAATAGCAAAGTTCAACAGGCCAGCAAGCAGCAAATACCTGGCATGGTTGTGGAGAGATTGGAGCTTTTATTCACTGCTTGTAGGAATGTAAAATGGTACAGCCACTATGGAAAGCAATCTGGCACTTTCCCAAAAAGTTGGAAAGAGAAGTTCCATTTGATTGAGAAATTCCACTACTGGGAATATGCCTGAAAGAAAGCAAGCCACGACTCAAACAGATGTATGCACCCTCATGTTTATTGCTGTGTTATTCACAATAGCAAAGAGCAAAGTGTCCATCAACCAACTAATGGCTAGAAAAACTCTGGTACATTTGCACAATTGAATATTACCCAGCATTGAAAAACAATGAACTCTTTTTAAAATTTTTTATTATTATTAATTTTAATGAAAATTTACAGAGATTTTGGATTTCCATTCATTCATTGTTGTTCTTTTCTCCCTTCCTACCCCTCCCCTCCAGTTCATTCTTTGAAAAATAAAAGAAAAATTCTTACATTGTTATGCAATCCCTCCCCCCAGATCCACTGCACTGTGCAGCCTTTGCTCTGGACTCCTGTCATAACAAAAATACCTAATCACATATCCCTTTTAAACAGTTTTTCCCTCATCTGTTTCAATGCAGTATACATTATTAAACCCATCTTTCTCAGTCTCCCCCAAGCCCCCAGGTCAATCCTGTTTTACAACAGTGGCACCATGCAGTATTTTTCCTTTTTTGATTGAGATACTTCACTCAGCATAATGTCCTCCAGGGCTATCCATTTTGAATATTATTTCATGAGTTCCTTGTTTTTTTCAGTGCAGCATAGTATTCCATTGTGTGAATATACCACAGCTTGTCTATGCATTTGTTTGTTGATGGGCACTTAGGTTGTTTCTGACTCTTTGCTATCATAAATAAAGTTGCGATAAACATGGGTATGCATATATCTGCTTAGGTGGCAGTTATGGTTTCTTTGGAATATATTGCTGGGTCAAATGATATTTCTATTTGCAACTTTTTGAGAAAAGTGCCATACTGCCTTCCATAGTGGCTGCACCATTTTACACTTCCTCCAACAGTGAATAAGGGTTCCAGTTTCTCCACAACTCGCCAGCATTTGTTCTTTGCTGTTTTGTTAAATTTTGCTATTACTGGGGTGATCTCATAGTTGTTTTTGTTGTGTTTTTTTTTTTAATTAGTTTTAATGAACATTTACAGACATTTTGGATTTCCATTCATTCATTGCTGCACTTTTCTCCCTGCCCACCCCTCCCCTCCAGTTCGCTCCTCTCTTTGGAAAGAAAAAAGAAAAATTCCTTCATTGGTATACAATCCCCCCCCCCCCCCCCGCCCCAAGTACATTTGATTATGCAACCTTGATTCTGGACTCCTGTGATAACCATAATATCACCTTTAATCTGTTCTTTCCCTCATCTGTTTGAATACAGTATACATAATTTATCCAGTTTTTTTCCTCAGTCTTACCCCAACCCTGATGTCAGATCCATTCTACAACAGTGGCACCATGCAGTATTTGTCCCTTTGTGACTGAGATATTTCACTCAGCATAATGCCCAGGTCACCCATTTTGAATAATATTGCGTGAGTTCCTTGTTTTTCAGTACGGTGTAGTATTCCTTTGTGTGAATATACCACAGTTTCTCTATGCATTTGTTTGTTGATTGGCACTTAGGTTGCTTCCAGTTCTTTGCTATTGTAAACAAAGCTCTGATAAACATGGGTTTGCATTCTCATAGTTGTTTTGATTTGCATCTCTTAGAGCTAGTAATTTTGAACATTTCTTCATGTGTTTGTTGGCCATCTGAATGTCTTCTTTGGTGAAGTGTCTGTTTATATTCTGTGCCCATTTTTCAGTTGGGTTGTTTACATTTATCTTGTGGTAAAAAACAATGAACTCTTAAAAACATTACACAACATGGGGGAGCCAGGAGGATATTATCCTGAGTGAAATATCACAGTCACAAAAGGACAAACACTGCATAACACTATTGTTACAAAATAGGACAGACATGGGGGTTTGGGGAGAGAATGGGAAGAGTGGATAGATAATGAATCACTGTCTGATTAAAATAGAAGCAGGCCATTTTCAGTGTTACAGCTGTTTAAGATCTTGTGCTCTTAACATGGGACCTGGGATAGGGACAAGCATGTTCAGTCCAGACTTATTACTATCTGTGGGTCAAATCCGTAAATGTGATAAATCTAAGAGTCATTTCACAAGTACTTGTAGAAACACTGAAGTGGAATATTACAGCTACATAAGATCTTAGCAAGATCATTTATTTGATAGTTGGGGAAAACTGAAACCCAAAGAGATGGAAGGGTATGCCTTAAGTCACATTTCCAGTTAGAAGAATAATTGGAACACGGCTGGCTCATTTCTCTCTTTTCTCTTGTCTCTCCTAGGAAAGTGAATAAACTTAATTGAGAATGTCTGAAAACCTTGACAACTCTAAAATAAATGAAGCAGGAAAATCAAATGATTCTGAGCAAAGCCTTGAAGATGATGTGGAAGAATCTGATGAAGCTTTACAGAAAAGAGTAAAACCAGCCTCCCCTAGCCCCCAAAGAGTGCAGAGACCCCACTGTAAGCAAATTTGTGTTTGGTTAGAAGAAACGTTACCATGATTTTAAAATTATCTTTACTAGGTGTCCTTGTTCCTGTGGTCTTGAGCTGAGCTCTAATACTATGATAACATTGACAGTTAGCATTAAAATAACAACCTTTCATAGCTGGCTGCCTGGTCACTTGTGGGTTTTCAGTTGCATGAGAAATGAAAATTTAGACTATCATCCAGAATGTTCCTTCTCCAGCAATTACGTTCCAGCTTCTCTGAAGTATTCTGAGACATTGGCGGGTGGAGTGTGAATTGAAGCTTTAATTAAGAGTATTTGAAAAGTCTGAGACCAATTTCGGCCAGGACTGTGCTTGTGCAGGTGAAAAAGGGTGAAGGGTAAGGCTTTTGTATGTGAATTTACCACACCCTAACTTCACTGCCTCAGGGCTTAGTTCCCACAGAGGTTGAGGGGTTTCAGTTTGATGAATGTGTGTGGTGAAGTCATTTAGGAGCCCTGGCAGGAAGTAAACCCAGTAGATGAAAGGGTTGCAATTGCTATGCATTTGCCCCAACTCATATCTTTTATTAAGAATACTTAAGGTTTTTGAAATGAGTCCAAAACTGAAAGTTTTTAAGAGGGAGTGTCATAGTCTAAGAATGTCAGTATTGATATTATCTCTTTAAAGCACATATGATCAGTGAGTCTGCATAGTTGAAAGAACAATAAACATTTTTGGGTTTTGAGGTGTGTTTCTTCTAAAATGATCAAAGCCCTTCCCAGGTAGTTTATTAACCATCACAGCATTCTTTAGCAAACAGTAGTGGACCCTGTGCTATTGTGGTTTATTCTCACATAGATTTTGATAAATACACTATTATGTCCAGTTGTATTTGTGGAAACATGCTGTTAATAAAGTAGTTTAAATGCACATGTTAGGCCTTGTCACCAATATGTATGCTTAGCTTCTGTTCTCTCATCTTTAATATGAAGAAAATTTGCTTGCTGGGCTCCCCAGAGGGCATGTTTAACTTTATAGGCTTTCCTTTTCTCTCATAGGACACAAGCATGGTAACAGAATTTAGTTAAGAGGTTTAGCTTTATATTGTATCAAAGTTAACTCCAGGGTAAAAAAAAAAATATATATGTAACCTGGCTGGTTTTTCTGGCTCTTATTACAACCTAAATTCTGTTCAAAGGAGGGGGTGAAGCCTGCCATATTGTTCACTACATTGTGTTGTGTGGTTGTTGTTGATTGGTGCTGGATCCCTTAACTCGAGGCAATACCATGTGTAATAGAATAGAACTGAAGTTTACAGAAACAAATGGCCAGGCTGTTTCTCCTTTGGTAGCACTGAGTGGGTTGAACTAACAAACTTTTAGGTTTATTTATCAGTTGAACACAAACCTTTTGTGGCACTTAGGGACCTCTGCATCACTTTGTTTTTGTTAAGTACAATTTCATTTCATAGCAACCACATGTAACAGAACTGTCTCCTTGAGTTTTCTAGGCTGTCATCTTTATTAGAGTCCTTTCTGGGTAGTTTGGGGGCAAATTCAAGCCTCCAACCTCTTGGTTAGCAGCTGATTACTTAGCCGTAGTGCTTCCAGGACTCTTGTTTGTGTTACAAACCACTGCTGCCCGTTGGTGCTGACTCATTGGGACTGCATAGGACAGAGTAGAACTGCCCATACGGTTTCAAATTCAACCATTCATACACATTTTGTCCTGTCACATTAATTTCAATACTTAAAATGTAATCACACTTTCCCATCTCCTTCCTATAATTCTTATTTCCATTAATTTTTCTATGCTGCTTTGCGCCACTCTGTTCTTTAATAGTATTATGCTGGTCGTTCTCTTACTGTATATTGCCTTTTCCTTTGCCCGGCATTATATATCTGTTATCTATTAATTTGCTTACTCACTTCTTTCTCTTCCTTCCCAACCCTAGTAAGTATCCAACAATGATATTTTCTATGTGTAAACCTTTCTTTAGATTTTTTTATGTTCTTTGAGGACAACACCATAATTTAAAGGCATCAGTTCTTCTGTCATCCTTATCATTGCCCAACTTTCGTGTGCATAGGAAGCAATTGAAAATACCATGGCTTGGATCAGGAGCCCCTAAGTCTTTGGAAGTTAAATTTTTGACTCTTTAGCACATTGATGAGGTCCTTGACAGCAGGTTTTCCTAATTGAAAGATGTCTTTTGATTTCTTGTCTGCTACAGTCATGGGTTGGGTGTCGATTGTGAATCCATGTAAAATGAAAAGGTTGATCACTTCAATCTTTCCCGCATCTGTCAGGATGTTGCCTATTGGTCTAGTGGTGAGGATTTTTGTTTTCTTAATGTTGTGACTCATAATGAAGACTGAAATCTTCGATCTTCTGCAGCAAGTGCTTCACATCCTCGTCACTTGTTGGAACCAATGTTGTGGCATCTGCTTAACACAAGTTGTTGAGTTTCCAATTCTGATGCCACAGTGGTCTTCACATAACCCAGCTTCTAAAATGATTTGTTCAGGGTATAGATTGAATATGTATGTAGAAAGCTGTATAGTTTCTCCATATCTAACTTTTAAAGTTAGTGGTCTTGTATAGTGTTTGTGCTTTTGTGACTGACTTCTTTGACTCAGCATAACATCCACTAGATGCATCAATGTTATGCAGTGTTTGTCAATTCTTTAGTGTTGCATAGTTCTCCATTATGTGCATGTACCATAATGTTTTTATCTGTTCATCCATTGACAGACATATGGGTTGTTTCTCTTTGTTACTGTAAATAATGCGTCAGTGAACATGGTTAGATATCTGCCTGTTCTTGTTGCAGCTGTTGTTTCTGTAGGGAATAGACTTAGTAGTGAGAGTGCTGGCTGAAATGATATTTCTGATTTTCTGAGGACGCACCAAACTGCATTCCATAGTGGTTGCAGCATTTTACATTCCCACCAGAAGCTGTATATGTTTACAGAAGCAGCTGGTAGGCTCGTACCTCTGACCTTTGAGTTAGCATTTCCCCCCCAGTGCTTAACCCACAGTGCCACAAATGCTAATTTATTAAATCCCTAGAACTCAGGAATTCTTAAAACAAAGTACCCTGTTGTTTTTGTTGTTAAGTGCCATTGAGTGAACTAGGACTCATAGCAACCTATGAACAACAGAGATCTTTCCTGAAGTGCAGCATTTCAAGTTGAAAAAGAATATCTTACAACCCTATAATGAGTAGGTGATGAGTAATTCCTAGATATGTAGCTCTATAACACTGGACCAATTGGCAGCATCAGGATGGATAGTGAAGAGATTGAGATTGTACACAGCTTTAGTTTGCTTGGCTCTCTAGTCAACAGTCTTGGCACCAGCAGCCAGGAAATTAAAAGGCGCATTGCCATGGGAAAGTCTGCTGTTAGGGACCTCTCCAAAGTACTGAAGAGCAATGGTATCTCTCTGGAGACTAAGGTGCGTCTGATACAGGCCATGGTCTTTGCAATCACTTGTTATGCATCAGAGAGTTGGACAGTGACCAAGGAGGATAGAAGGAGAATTGATGCCTTTGAGCTGTGGTGCTGGAGAAGAGTATTGAGAATACCATGGACTTCTAGGAAAACAAAGAGATTTGTCCTGGAAAGGGTTAAACCGGGTGGCTCCTTGGAGGCAAGGATTCTGAGGCTCCGTCTAACATACTTTGGACATGTTGTGAGAAGAGACCGGTCCTTGGAGAGGGACATCATGCTTGGGAAGGTGGAGGGACAGCGCAGGAGGGGAAGGCCCTCTATGAGGTGGATTGATTCAGTGACTGGGATAATTGGGATGGGAGTGTCAGAGACAGTGCGATTGGCACAGGACAGAGCGGAGTTTAGGGCTGTTGTACACAGGGTCGCTGTGAGTCGCAAGCAACTCGATGGCACATAACAACAACAACAATATAACACGTTCTGCTCGTATCTTAGGACTGTGGCTTTATTTTTTTTAATCACTTGACCCACATAAGCCTGCTGCTCACCAGGTGCTCTGCAAGATAAAGTTATAGCAGTCTGCTTCCATAGAGACTTAGAAATCCTATGGGGAAATTCAGTTCTGCTCGGTATGAGCCAGAATCCAGTTGATGGCAGTAGGCTTGCTTTTTTTCATTTTCTTTTATTGTTGCACATTTTCTTATTCCCCTTCCTCAGCCCGCCCTGCAATGCACCCCTTGTTCCAGATTGTTGGTTGTCATATGTGTAATGCCTTTTGGGCAGTTCTTCCCCTCATCTCTTCTAATGTAGTGTTTGTTATCTGTCCACTCTTTTCCCATTTTCTCCCCAACACCCCCATGTCTGTCCTGTTTTATAAAATCAGTGTTATGCAGTGTTTGTCTTTCTGTGACTGAGATATTTCACTCAACATAGTGTCCTTCAACCTCCCGCATGTTGTGTAATGTTTCACAAGTTTATTGTTTTTCAATACTGTATAATACTCTTGTCGTGTGAATGTACCATAATTTTTCTATCCATTCAGTTGTTGATGGGCACTTGAGTTGCTTCCATCTCTTTGCTATTGTGAATAACACAGCAATAAACATGGGTGTGCATACATCTGTTTGAGTCATGGCTCTGGTTTCTTTAGGGTGTATTCCCAGTAGTGGAATTACTGGGTCAAATAGTATTTCTCTTTCCAACTTTTGAGGCAGTACCAGGCTACTTTCCATAGTGGCTTTACCATTTTACATTCCCATCAGCAGTGAATAAGAGTTCCAGTCTCTCCACAACCGTGCCAGCATTTGTTTGTATACTTGTATTTTTGGTTATCATTCATTAGAGTATTTCTTCAGTCTTATTATCTTCATTTTTCATGTAGAGAAAGATGACTTTGGAAGAGTTAAGTGACTTGCCCAACGTTACATTTAATAGGGTCTGGAGGGTTAATTTCTTTCTACTATGCTCTGTGCACTGTTTTATGACTAGGAAGCGTAGAAGCAGTAATCTGTTTATCAACTATCCAGGTGCATAGCATTTTTGAAATACAGCAGATTTCTTGAGAGAGCTGGGTAT